TTTTTGAGACAAGGTCTTACTGTATAGCCCCTGGTGACCTGGAACCAGGCTGGTCTCAAACTCACTATGTAAACCAGGCTGGCCTCAAATGCAGAGATCCACCAGCCTCTGCCTCCTGAGTGCTGGAATTACACCCAGCCTAATGGTCACTGTATTTGAAAAGTGAACACATGGGATATTGGGTTGGCTCAGTGAGTAAAGTGCCTGCTGTACAAGCAGGAGGACATGAGTTCAGATTCCCAGCACCCATATAAAAGCTGGTCATGGTGGCACACTTGACAACCCCAGCACTAGAGAGGTTGGAGACAGGCGGATCTCGGGAGCTCACTGACGAGCCAGTTAAACTGAAAAGGCAAGCTCCAGGTTCAGTGAGAAACCCTTTCTCAAAAAGATAAGGCAAAGAACCATAGAAGACACCTGATGTTAACCTCTGGCCCCTACATGTGCACTCATGAGCAAGAACACACACATACATATGTCATACATGCACAAAAAGCAAAAACACCACAGACTTCCACAAGACCTCACACTCAGAAGGCAAGGAGATCTGTGTCAAGATGGTGTTTCTTCTGGGTCTCAGAAGCTGAGGGAAGAGCAGGCAAATCTGTCTCTGGTAAGGGACCTGTTTTACAGTGACTGCAGAGCCTGGTTTAGACCTACCAATATACCACAGTGGATCAACCCATTGAGCTGTTCCCTAAGGAAGTGGAACACAGAAAAAGAGCACAGCCCAGGCTCAAAGTGTGTAGCAATTTGTGTCTCTTCTGCCTCCACCAGATCAGCACTGGTCTGATGACATCCCTTCCGATGCTGAAGCAGACCTTCGCTTACAGCACCAGGCCAAGGTGGAAGCAGAGCTGGAGCCGAGAGTGTCAGAAAAAGAGGAAGAGAAACCACCTAGCATGCCAAAGCTACAGGAGAAAGGTAGGGCTGCTATTGCCGGCAGGAGATGCAACTTCAAGAATACCAGAAACCACAGGGGCATGCTGGTATCACCAGGTGAGGGCCCCAGAGCAGAGCCTATGGTGCCAGTCAGTGGCCCCTTTCCTTGTGGGTCATTTGAGAGCAAGGTCAAAGGTATAGCACAATGCTTAGAACCCAGATCATAAGTACATTTACTGATCAGAATGCCAGCAGCAGGAGCTTGCAGGGTTGGGGGCGCACCTCCCCGAGTACCTTCACTTGGTTTTAGAACAGCCTGATGAAAGCGGATCCAGGGACACTACACAAGTTGTCCCATCTGAACCTCTGCTCTCCTGCCACAGCAGTGGGCTGGCTGCAGTGTGACACCTTCCATGGAGCTGGCTTCCTCCCCCCCACAACATGTGTAGAGCAGGTGGGACTTATTTCCTGTTGTGAATCCCTGTGTCCCTTTTTTTCAGGTCCTTCCCAAGTCTCCAGCCCTATCCAGTCCCCTCAGAAACAAGCTATTCTCTTCTCCCCAGCCCAGAGCCCTGTGGCAGAGGTAAGGCTTTCAGGCTTACTGTAGGGGACAAGGAACCAATGGGACCCTGAGACCTTGAAGAGGATGTGGTCCCATGTCACATCCTATGCTCATAAATAGGCTGTTGACAATAGGTGCAGCTTTCAGGTTCTAGCTCAGTGCTTGAAATGGTTGGGCAAATGTATTTTTAAATTAATACAGTGGTATTTATGCAACTATGGGTTTATAGTAGGTACATTTTTTCTTTATGTTAAAATAAATGTTTAGCTATTTAAATGAAAAATAGGCCTCTAGATCACTAGCAGTATGAGGATCACTTTAGAGAGCAGTCTGTAAATGTATCCTACTAATGTCTGTGGAGTGCGGTCTGGGAAGTACCATGTGGAAGGCAGATCAGGAAGGAGTCAGGGCTCAGGCCTCAGTCTTTGGAATTCCAGGCCACATGGCACAGTCCGGTGGTTAACCTGAGAAGTGAGAGGCACTGGGGTGACTGGCATTTCTGAGTGGTCTGGGAAGGGAACAGTGTCTCTACAAAACAGGCTCTCCTACGTAATGATTTTAAACCTCCTCACAGTATTAGCCCTATGTTCATCCCTAGGAGACCCCAGAGCTCTGGTTATTGTGGGTTGGGATTAAAGCCAAGCTCATTAGTGTCCTTGGCCAGTACTCATGTCAGTGGACCAAGAACCAAGGACATGTATGGGAAGAACCAACCTCTGAAAGCTCAATCCATTCAGACTAACTAGAGAGGTTTTTTTTTAAAAAAAAAAACGGGTAGAGCAGAAAAAGAGGAAGCTTCCCCTGGAGCTCTTTAAATAATAGCTAAAAGGATGGAGTGAGGAATTTGTTTCAATAAATGTAGGCTTTGGGGACAGAAAGCTCCCCAAGGGAGGTTGCTCACCATTGAAGCCGTATCTTCCTAAGCATCTGTTCTCTTCCATCTGTGTAGGGGACCCGGGTCCCACTTGCCCCTGTTGCCACCAAGGTGAAATCCCCCAAGGAGCACCATTTCCCTGAACCTCTGCTTCCCAGAGAGAAACCCAAAGCTGAAGACCCCACAGATCAGAAAGCTATGCAATCTCCAATCCGATCCCAGCCGGTCACCGTACCAGAAGCCAGGACGCCTACCTCACCAACCCACCTTCAGTCTCCGTTGGCCCCCTCCACACCTCCCTCCACCCAACTTCCCATTTGTTCCCAACCTCAGCCTTCCTCAGAGGCTACTATCCCATCACCCACCGAGTCCCCCATACGCTTCCAGCCAGTTCCAGCCAAAGCATCCACTCCCCTAACCCCACTCCCTGTGAAGAGCCAGGCTGACCCCAAGGACAAACGAGGTGGCCCTCTGGCCATGGAGGAGGCCCTGAAGCGCAGTGACCTGGTGGAGGAGTTCTGGATGAAGAGCGCAGAGATCCGCCGTAGCCTGGGCCTCACACCTGTGGATCGGAACAAGGGATCAGAGCCCAGCTTCCCCTCACCTGCCTTCAAGCCAGTTTCCCTGAAGTCCTATTCAGCTGACAAGTCCCCTCAGGATGAGGGTCTCTGTCTTCTGAAACCTCCACCTGTTCCTAAAAGACTGGGCCTGGCCAAATCAGCCAGTGACCAGCCCCCACTGCTGACTCCAAAGTCACCCTCTGACAGGGAACTCAGGAGCAACCAGGAGGAGCGCAGGGACTTGTCCAGCAGCTCGGGCCTGGGCCTCCATGGCAGCTCCTCCAACATGAAGACCTTGGGCAGCCAGAGCTTCAACACCTCAGATTCCACCATGCTCACCCCACCTTCCAGCCCACCACCACCCCCACCACCCAATGAGGAGCCCGCAACCCTGAGAAGGAAACACCATCAGGAGACATTGGAGCGCAGGGAAGCCTCAGTTATCCCACCTCCCCCACCTGCCACATTCATACGGCCCCCACGGGAGCCAGCTCAGCCCCCCAGGGAGGAAGTACGGAAGTCATTTGTGGAGAGTGTGGATGAGATCCCCTTTGCTGATGATGTGGAGGACACATACGATGATAAGACTGAGGACTCAAGTCTGCAAGAAAAATTCTTCACACCCCCCTCCTGTTGGTCCCGTTCAGAGAAGTCCCTGGCCAAGGAGAATGGGCAGCTGCCCCCCCTCAAGCGTGACGTGCAGCCACAGAAAAGGATACTGCCTCTGGTCTCTGCAGAAGCCAAGGAGCTGGCTGAGGAGCGCATGCGAGCCCGGGAGAAGTCTGTGAAGAGTCAGGCTCTGCGAGATGCCATGGCCAAGCAACTGAGCAGGATGCAGGGCATGGAGATGGCAGCCACGGCCTCCAGGTCCCGCACAGGCCCTTCAGTACCTTCCCAGGGCAAGGAACTAGGGCTGGAGTTTCCCAAACGCCCAGGCCTCAGAGGCTCCCAGGAGCCCAACCTGAAGCCTGAAGCCACCAGCGAGGAGGTTGTCTCCCCTCCATCAGACTCAGGAGGCCCTGATGGCTCTGTGACATCATCTGAGGGCTCCAGTGGGAAGAGCAAAAAGAGGTCATCCCTCTTCTCCCCCCGTAGAAACAAGAAAGAGAAGAAATCCAAAGGGGAGGGCAAGCCCCCAGAGAAACCTAGCCTGGGTCTCCCAGAGGAAGTGGCTTCCAAGCCCAAGTCCCTGTGGAAGTCGGTCTTCTCTGGGTACAAGAAGGACAAGAAAAAGAAAAGTGATGAGAAGTCCTGTTCTAGCACCCCATCCAGTGGTGCCACAGTGGACTCTGGCCAGCACAGGGCATCTCCGATTATGAGAGCAGGTATGCACAGCAGAGGGATGCTCATGGGATGGGGTGAGGGGTGCCTCCCAGACCATTCAGTTCTGAGAAGATCCTGTGCTGCTCCCCCAAGGGTTCTTAGGAGAGAGCATACCAAGCCCTGAGTACCCTCAGCCTGTTTCTACTTCATGACATAATGCTAGCTCCAGCTTGAAACTAAGTAGGGCCAATTCAGGTAGGTTCCTAAAGTCACACGCCCCCAAAGCAGAGCCTGATTTTGAGTGGAGCAGAGGGGAGGCCTGCTAGTAGAGGGTCTTGGGTAGGTGTCTAGGAGCCTACTTCTTGGGGGACAAGCTCAGGTCTCCCTGTGGGGGTTGCGGGGGGAATGGTCTAAAGAGAAACTAATCTCGGCTAACTGTCTTGCTGCTTGTTTGCTTGAGGTGTTGGTTGCTGTCTTCACTGGCCTCTTTTTACCCTGTAGAATTACAGCTCCGGCGCCAGCTGAGTTTCTCAGAAGACTCGGACCTGTCGAGTGACGACATCCTTGAGAGATCCTCCCAGAAGTCCAAGCGAGAGGTAGGTATGCCCAGTCCCTGAAGGGTTTCAGGAGGGCTGGTGACCAAGAGTCAGTCTCTGGTAGAGGAACAGATAGTAAAAGCCAGTCTAATGCTATAGTGGAGAGCCAGTGCCTGCTCTGGTCTCCTAGCAGGCAGACGTTGAAGTGCTGAGCCAGCCTAAGGCCAAAAGCAAAAGCCACAGAGCAATCTCTCAGGCTTCTGAAATACTTTGCGGGTATTGCCTCAGTCTATAAAGGAGCCAGGGTGTTCTGTTAGGAAACAGCCTGGCATTGCTCCCTGGGCAGAGTCTACCAGGCCCAGGCAGTGGAAGAAGAGCTGAGACACCTCTTTGGCTCATGAAAGTGTGGTCCAGGCACTAGGCATGGGCAGGAGGTACGAGCAGCTTGCTATGGAATAGCCATCCTGACTGTCTGGTGCATTAGTTAAGTAGAGAGGACTTTTTCTGTCAAGGAACTGGTTCTGGAGGCTGGCCTTGAGTGCTAGTAGTTATGGCAGGGCCCTCTCTCTGCCCAAGGGCTTAGAAGAAGGGGTAGCCTCCTGTTCTCCTGAGAAGTAAAGGTTCAGTGTAGAAGCCTACAGTGTCATTACTTTTCCTTGGGTACCATGTTCAGTCTCCTGGTTCTTGAGATCTACGGTAGCTCTAACCAGATATAGTGAAGCCAGAGGAGGGAGAGGAACAGAGAGTTCTAGCAGGGCATCTGTCACAGTGACAGTGATCAGATGGACACTGAGATCTAGGAAGGTCTCAGCAGCAAGGCGCAGGAGACACAACACCCTGTATGGGGCATCCTCCCCTCTACTCTGTTCAAAGTTGGCAGGTAGACCAACCAGGGCGGTCTATGGTAGCTCAGGTCCATCCTCCAGCCTGATCCAGTTCCTCTTTTAATAACTCAGCAAACCAGAAAAAGCCAGTTTATCCTAATCTCATTCTTCATGCATTCATCTCCCTGGGCACAACAGCTCTTTCTCCACTTTTCTGGGGCACCAAGAACTACAGGCTTCTCTTCCCTTCCTACTGCCTACAGCCAGACCTCCTATCTTGCACCCGAGTGCTGAGTTTAGGACTGGAGGCTGGTGCTTTCCATGGGGGCTCAAGCCAACATTTCGAGTACATCATACTGAGATCTCTCAGGCAGTCAGGCAGTGAAGAACTGAACCAAAGATGCTGTGTGAATGTGTGTGTGAGTCTCATCCTAACATTAGGGATACAGAATGGAATGTAGTTGGAAGTCCCTTCTGCCTCCATGGTGAGTGTACACATGTTGAGGACAGTTCATGTCACGTGTGTCAAATCTTCCACCTGTGGCTGGTATTGTGATCAGATCTCTCCACTGCTTCTCCATGACTTGAAACACCTTGCCTCAGCAGAGAGTGCCAGCTGCCCCCTCTGGCTATGCTGAAGTTATCTGGGTATAGCCATCCAATAACCACAGGCTTCTTAGGGCCAGTGCACCACATACCTCACAGACCCCAGCCCTAACAAGTACCTAGGTGTGGTTTTTATAGGAAACACACATACACACATGCACACACCAAAACAAACAAAAAAGCTTCCTTTTTACTTAAATGTCTGTTACACAAAATAAATAATTCAGGGTTTGTGTGTTTGTGTTCATGTGTATGCAGATAAACGTATGCACACATGCATGTGGAAACTAGAGAACAACCTCAAATGTCATCCCTCAAGTGGGTGTCTGTGTTGTGTGTGTGTGTGTGTGTGTGTGAGAGAGAGAGAGAGAGAGAGAGAGAGAGAGAGACACAGGGTGGTCTCTTACTAGTCTGGAGTGCACCAATAAGGCTAAACTGACTGGCTAGCAACCTAGGGATCCACCTGTGGCCACCTCCCCAGCTCTAAGATACAAACACATGCCGCTACACCAGACTTTTTTTATATGGAGTCTAGGGATCGAACTCATGTCTTCTTGCTTGCAAAGCAAGCACTTTACTGACAGATTTATCTCCCTAGCCTCAATTCAGGGTTTTTTAACCACCAGAAGCCCTGCCAGGCAGAGGTCTTGTTGACCTCTCCTTTGTTTTCATCTGACTCTTTTTTGCTTTGTTTTATTTCATTTTTGAGGCAGGGTCTCCCAGTAACCCCAGCTGGCCTGGAACTTGCTATATAAACCACCTGGCCTCCATCTCACAGAGATCCTCCTGTCTCTGCTTCCCGAGTCCTGGGATTAAAGGTGTGCACTGCCGCATCCAGCTTCCATCTGACCTTAAGTACAGCCTACCCACCTACTTCTTGGCCACTGTGGCCCATCAGGATCCTGACCTGCCCTCCTCCAGCTCCTGTCCTGCTTCACACCCCAGAGGCAGTTCCATAGCCATCCGTGCTCCCAGGCCGCACTCCTCCCAAGGTTACCCAAAGTGTGTCATGATTCCACTCCCTGTTACTACCACTACCAAGTTAGCACCAGTCCCAGTGGTGGGTGAGTTAGGAAGGAGGCTTCTGTGGCTTGTCATAACGTTTACAGTAGCTACTGCAAACAGGTTCAGGTGTTGGTGCCCCTCCTTAGGTGTGACTCTGTGGTCCTATGGGTTCTCCCCAGGCCACTGTGGTCATGATCTGTGCTTTTCCATTTTAAGCTACCCTGTTCTACATGAAGGCCTTGTTCTTAGTCTGCTTAAGGATGGTTAAGCAAGCAGATGTCTGATGCCCATGCTCAGAGCTAAAAGCAGCAAGTCTGTTCTCCAGCCAGCATGCATGTGGCATTTTGTGTGGATCCCTACTGTGTCATCCTCAGCATCTCCCTGTCCGCAGGCCACCAAACTCCAGTTGCCTCCCTCCCTTGCTCCTTAGGGCCTTTTAGGCACATGATCTGGCCCATGAGAAGACCACAAAATCAAAGGCAACTAAACCAAGGCTTAGAGTAGCTGTGCTCGGTATGTAAAGAGATTTCTATGACTGCCTGAAAGGTGGTACTTTCTTTGAATCACAGTGATTCAAAGTGTGTGGTTTTAGTTCCCTTTGCTGGGTATAGTCATGAAATAGCAGGCTTTACCAGTTCCAGGACAACCTATGTGACCTGCTTGAGAACACCAACAGGATCAAGAGCCTGTTGAGAGTGCAAGTAAGAGTCAGTGTCCCTTTCCATCTGTGCCGTGTGTGATGTCGAGTCTCCCCCTCCTGCTCCCATTCCATGCTGAGGAGTGTTAATTGGGAGGAACCCAAGTAAAGGGATTGGCTACTAAGAGAGAAAAGGGACTTGTCATCACACCTTTAAACAGAGGGGAGATTCGGGGCATGGTAAGGAAGAAGAAGTTTCTGCTTAGTAAATAGAAAAGTGAATCCCAGCCTTAGTCAACAACAGGGTTCAGTGAGACTCGCCTGCTAGAGTCTGTATCTTCCTCCTTGTGCAGTCCTGTGTGACTATGGAAAATGATCATGTGTGTATGTCTCGTGTTTGTTTTAAACCGCTAACTGATTTTGCTCCATTTCTGTATTCTATTTAATTTTTTAATCATCATCATTACTGTTTTGTTTTGTTTTCTGTGGCCATCCCCTTAAAAGTCGATTTATATACCACACGCCTTGGCATTCAAGAGAGCCTGTTCATCAAAGGTAGTGTCTCATTCCCCCCTGGCCGGTCCTCGTTGCATGCCTGTCTGTGATTAACCACCCAGACAGCCCGCTGTGCCCTGTGGCTGCGTCCTCACTAACTGTGTCATATGTGCATGCAGCTGTCACAGTCAGACCTTCTTTAATTGTGTCACAGGGAGGCAGAGGAAGAGACACACCTGCTCTTCCTGTCACTAGAGTGCATGTGGTCATTTTGCTCGAGGTGTCGGGTGGGGGACAGACTGCCCTGTGGGTCTGGACAGCTCATCAAAGGGCAATCACCAGCCCTCCACTCTGAACCATCGGGGCACTGGGACACGGCAACGATCCTTAGAGACTGCCTTTTGCCTATTCTACTGTCATTTGAGCTCTTTGAAGAGAACTGATAAGTCTGGACCCAAACTGAATGTGGAAATCTATAAGTCCCTTTGGTTTCCTAAGAGGCAATAAAGAGGGCCTTATAAAAGAAGACAATCCTCCACACATGCTTCTCGGTGACTGCCCATTGTCTGTTCAGTCACTGGATGCTCTGGAGCAACGTGGCCCTTGTGTGCGGGCAGGCACAAGCAGCCATTAGTGGATGCCATGACCCTCTCCCAGTTGCCTCCTTCAAGCTTACAGACTGGCCACAGCCAGCCTGGCCAGACCACTTCCACCCCTCTTCTCCATGGCAACTGTTACCTCTGCAGACCCAAAAAGTCATCCTCACTGTTCCTCTTTAACCTTTGTTAATTAGTTTGGATTCACTGAGATTTAACATAGAATCATCCCTATTTTGTCTCCTTTAAAAAACACTAGGAGCCAGGCATGGTGGCACATGCCTGTAGTCCCAGCACTTGGGAGGCAGGGTCAGGCAGATCTCTGTGAGTTCAAGGCCAGCCTGATCTACATAGCGAGTTCCAGCCTAGCTGAGGCTACAGAGCTACAGGGAGACCCTGTTTCAAAAAAGAAAAACAACACTAGGAACCCCATTCATTGAAGAATGTGGCTTTTGATACCAAACAAGAAAATAAAAGGATCCTGACTTTGCAAACCTTTTCCTTTTCCTGTATGCCTCAGAAGTCATACCCCTGTCAGCCTGTGCCTAAACCATCTTCCACCTGCATACAACTGCCTAAGGAGCTCTTTCTTATCCCCTTTAGCCCAGAACCTACACAGAAGAGGAGCTGAATGCCAAGCTAACACGGCGTGTGCAGAAGGCAGCACGGAGACAGGCCAAGCAGGAGGAGCTGAAGCGGTTGCACCGAGCCCAGGTACACATTGTCGGTGGGACAGCAAGTACAGGTGGAGGTGAAGTAGCACATCCTCCTGTGCTCCCAGAGGGCCTCCTCTACAGCAAGGAGGGTGAAGAAGCCAGGACAGAGGGGCAGACGGGGCATCCTTGTCTTCCAAGATGGAAGCTCCAAAATGCCTTTAGCTCAGTGCACTAGAGAGACCCCATCTTTGTGGCACTGTCTATGAAAAGAGAGCCATGCTTGTTTCCTAAATGCCTCGATCTAGAATAGTTGTAAAATCAACTAGTTCACTTGGAAGCCATTGTGTTCAAAGTCAGTGTGTGGCCCCAGCCTCTGACAGGCCTGGGATATGGTGGGGAGAGCTCAGTTGTACCTCTGGTCATCAGTCTCTATCTTCAGGACTCATATCCTAGACTATAAATTTATAGAGACAAGACTGCTTTTTTTTTGAGACAGGATCTTGCTTCAGCCCTTTCTGGCTTGGAACTCGCCATGTAGACCAGGCTGGCCTCAACTCACAGAGATCCACTTGCCTCTGCCTCCCAAGTGCTGGGATTAAAGGCATGCACCACTATGCCCAGCTTAGAGATGGGACTTCATTAATATGCCCATCCAGTGCCTTAGCAGTCTCCTTATCATAAAGGTTTGATGAAATAGTTTTAAAATGCTGTTCCAGGAAACTGACCCCTGTTGCAACTGTGTCCATCCCTCTGGGCTTAGAGCAGTGATCTGGAGTCGGCTCAACAACAATGCCTGGGATCCAGCTGCAGGCAGTTGGCACACCACACTGACCATAAAGCCTCTTCTAATGTCTTGACATCACTTGTCTTTCTCCCTCCTTGGGTTTGCACCTTGGTCCTCCTGAAAGCCGGGGGTAGGAGAAAGCTGGACACTTAACACTGTGTTTCTCGGTAGATTATCCAGCGTCAACTGGAACAGGTGGAGGAGAAACAGAGGCAGCTGGAGGAGAGGGGTGTCGCAGTGGAGAAGGCTCTGCGAGGAGAAGCAGGTACTGTCGGACTTCCTCTGTGAGGAGGCTAGTTCTGAAGGAGAGAGCCTGCCCTCCTTCTTGGGTGAGCCAGTTTGGCATCACCTCTTCTAGAATTCGGCCCCTTCTCTATCATGGTTTCTGAGCCCTGGCATCACCAAGGTCTGGGGCTTACCTGTATTTGAACAGCCCAAAGGCCCAGGCCTGCTCCCCAACCCGTGCCCCAGCTTGCTATTTCCATGCAGAATGAAATCTCAAGCCCTGTTAACTGTTGATGGCAAGCTCTAGGCTTCTTCTCTCCTTATTCCTCCTCCTCCTCCTCCTCCTCCTCCTCCTCCTCATTCTCCTCCTCCCCATAATTTTCTCTAGGAGAAAATGTCTGGGAATGAGGGAGATTGTCCCACAAGGAACCATCACAGAACTGCACTGGACAGGCCACAGCCTGCTCTCCCACATGCTCCTCCTGTCCTCACTTCCCTGGGCTCCCTGCAGCCCAAGCTGTACAGCCACAGAGCCTGTACTCTCCTGTGTGGGGCTTCTGGCTGCCCTTGTACTCACAGATTCCCCTGGGTGAGCCCAAGTTTGTGTCCACTAAAGGCTAGTCGCTCAGGGCAGAGTTGGAGAGGCTTGGGGGCTGTGATAAGCCAGTGTGGCATGGGCAGAGGAAGCTATTTTAAGGGCCATGTGGTTAGAGCCTGCTGGGCTTGGCACAGTTGGGTATGGAGAACATAAGGAAGTGTTTAAGTGGTCCCTGAGTCCAGGCCCAGGGAACCCTGCCAGCTCCAGACCTTCAGCCACAGGGACAACCCAGCCTCAGGCATAGTATGACTGACCTGCTTCCTCAAGGCCCATCTCTACAAACATGGCTGTCTGTATGTATGTGTATATATATATATATATATATATATATATATCAAGGTCTTAAAAATAGTTATATATATATATATATATGGGGTCAGCATTCAGATTGTGAGGCTGGAAAGAAGGAAGGTCAGGGCCTCTTGATGCTTCCTTTTACTGGCCTCAAGGTGTGGGCTTGGTGTCAAGGATTTCCTGGTTCTGCAGCTGAACTGCATGTGATGGGGAGTCAGGACAGGCACAGAAGCAGGTCTTTTTCAGGCTCTTTAAGACTCAGAAATCATACTCATCAGTGAGCTCAGTGACGACCCTCAGGTGAGGATGTGGACTGGGGGAGAAAGATGAGGTTGTGGGTGTTTGGGGGTTTGTGCCTCACCTGATGCAGGACCAAATGCTTGAAGCCTGGGCCAGCAAAGGAAGTACAAAAACTTCTGTCACTTAGTATCCAGAGAGCAAAGAAGACTGGAACTATTACTACCAGACAAGCACTGGCTCCCAGTGAAGATACATTTTGCCTAGAAGTTTCCTAGGCTTCCCAGTGAGCCTGTGGCATTCCCCACCAGCCTGCAGGCCTCCTCTCCCTGCACTGCTTACTCTGACTGGTCTTTCCAGCACAGTCTGAGCTCTGGAGAGGATTAGCCCTCTAGCGAGGCCTGGCTACATCAGAACTGTAAGACCCGGTCCTCTGTGCTGCTCTCTGTGTACACAATACCAGAAGGGCCCCTGGAGCCTTCTTCTCACCTTCCCCCCAGATTACTTCAGCTAGAGGCAACTGAGTTCTGCAGCGGTACTCAGCATTACTGTCCAGGTACATGAGTTCGTGTTCATGTCCCCAAGAAGCGCTTCTTCCCTCCTCACAAAGTTCTAAGGCTCAGAGAGATAGCCATTTTGGTTGATGGTTTCTGGGCCCTTAAGGTCCCATGAGCTAGAATCTGTTTCTGTACTTCATGTCTTCTGTAAAAGATGTCATACCAGCTGCTGCTAGTGGGCCAGAAAATGACACCATTGGAAACTAGCAGAGAGGAAAAAAAAAATATTTTTTAAAGGGGGACTGGAGAGATGGCTCAGCAGTTAAGAGCACTGGCTGCTCTTGCAGAGGATCCGGGTTCAGTTCCCAGCACCCACATGGCAGCTAACATCCATCCATAACTCCACTTCCAGGGGATCTGACATCCTCTTCTGACCTCTGTGGACATTACATGATGTGGGTGCACTTACATGCATGTAGGCAATACACTCATACACATAAAATTAAAATAATAAGGGGCTGGAGAGATGGCTCAGAGGTTAAAAACACTGGCTGTTCTTGCAGAAGACCCGGGTTCGAATCCCGGCACCCACATGGCAGCTAACAACTGTCCGTAAACACTGGTTGTTCTTGCAGAAGACCCAGGTTCAAATCCCAGCACCCATATGGCAGCTAACAGGTGTCCCGTAACTCCAGTCCCAGGGGATCCGACAGCCTCTTCTGACCTCAGCAGGCATTGCACGACACGGGTGCACTTACCTACATGCAGGCGTTACATGCATACATATAAAATAAAAAAAAATAAATAAATAAAAATTAAAAAGAAAGAAAGAAATTGGCAGAAAGGCTGGAGAAATGGCTCAACAGGTAAGAACAGATACTGCTCTTGCAGAAGACCAGATTCAGGTCCATAACAACCTATAACTCCAGCTCTAGGGGATCTTTTGCCCTTTTCTGGCTTCCCAGAGCATCTGCACTCATGTGCTCACGCTTGCGTGCGCACACACACACACACTCTCTCTCTCTCTCTCTCTCTCTCTCTCTCTCTGAGATAGTAAAATCTAAAAAACATAATTGGGGACTGAAGAGATGGCTCAGTGGTTAAGAGCACTGGCTGCTCATGCAGAGGACCTGGTTTAGTTCTCACCACTCAGTGACTCACTATTGTCCATAACTAGGCAAACACTCATACACATAAGGATAAATCTTTTTTTTTTAAATTATAGACAAGAAACTTCAAACAAAAAGAGAAAGCCCACATATGCTGATTTGATGGCATGAATCATTTGCCACCTGAAGGTCTACACCTGCAGTGTGCTCTGAGGCCAGCATCGATTGAGCCATCTCCTCCTCAAGGGTTCCTATACAATAGCATGTGAGCCCTGTCATTGCCAGCGGGACTTGAACTAATTAATTTATTATTAACAAGTTTACAGGAAATGCAAATTATTATACATAAAGCAAAAGAAGCTTGGTACTGACAGCCCCACAAAAGCAGCTTCTCTGGTCTTCAGTGGGTCAAAAGGTGGCATGTGGGGCTAGAGAGATGGCTCAGTTGGTTAAGAGCACTGGCTATTCTTGCAGAACAGCAGGGTTCAATTCCTAGCACCCATATGGTGGCTAACAATCACCTGGAACTCCAGTTCTAGGGGATCCAACACCCTCTCCTGACCTCCACAGGCATTGCTCAACACAGGTGCATTTACATGCATGCAGGCAATACACTCATATACATAAAATAAATAATAAAAATTATTGTAATATTATTAAATTAT